GCTGGAACCAGACAGGTGAGCTCCTCTTGTCCTGTTCTCAGCTGGGACAGAGTTGCAGTGACTGTGCCTTAATGGCTGTGCTCACCTCATCAGGCCCCTCTGCTAAATTAAGTAATGATGTAGAGCAAACTGGCTCCAATTGCTCTCTAAAAAAGCTCTTCCTGCTTATGACTCGATGTTTGGTTAAAAAAAAAAAAAAAGTGCAAAAAATCTCCCATGCAATTGGTATTCGATTTCAAGTCTTGTTTCAGCACCTGCAGTCTAGCTCAAACATGGATCTTACTTTTTATGTTGGCCCCACTCTTTTTTTTTTTTTTTTTAGGAGAAATAAAAGAAAGCAATTTCTTTGGGTCTTTCCTTGTCAAAATACCTTCCACTGTTCTCAGGTGCTTATTTATTGACAAATTCCCTTTTCAGAGTCCTTTGCAAAGTGCTAAGGCCAGCTGCACCAGATGTAAGTTGCATTCAATTATCCCAGATTTTCATCTTGGAATGTGAAGGTTCCCATTTCCCAAACTCCTTCAGAAATCATCATCATCACTGCAAGTGTTTTTGATAGTAATTAACTGAATTAATGGACAAGTTTTAAGTGATCTGTCTACTTGCTTCTCCTGGATGAATGTTAAAGCACTTTAAAGATGAATGCATCTTTCAAGTTCAAATCAGCGTTGTTTTTCCTTCAGTTGAGCATGTCTGCAGTTAAGCCAGACTGTCTCTTGTTTCTTACTGTCCTTTTGAAACCCAGATGATGCTTGAGTTATTTTCATTTGCTCTCTGGGGAGAGCAGCATATGTGTATAATCACCACTGGTACAGTCTTGCTTTAGCCAGCACTGGGAGTTTTTTGCACTTTCTTCACGATGTCAGGGCAGGGCCTTTTCACCATCTTACAATTTGTGGATTCATGCGTGTTTTCCAAGGACCAGATTTACCTTTCTTTTTAATAGAAGTATCATGTAGATAAATTACCCAGAGGGGCTGTCAGAAGTGACCAGGAAAGCCACCCTACAGGCTGCAGTGCCGTGTAGCCCATCTGCTTCCAGAGCTGCAGGACACAGGGTGGAAGGCGAATGGAGTTGGAATAATTGCTGTGTCTTCAAGAGCTATGTGTCCCTGTCTGCACCTTCTCCCTAGAATGTGGGTTTCCATCATACCAAATGCTTGTCTTTCCATCATTGCCACAGTCTCTGATCTTCTTCAACTTTTCCCTCTGCTTTTTAACTCACCCAAGAAGGAAGATTTAATTTTTTTTGTAGTTTTTCTATGCTTACTGTCACTTACCTTGTTCAGTTGTTGTCTGCTGTGGTCCCCTCTGACCTGCTTCTGTTGCTACATTACTCATATCAGAAATGTTGAGCACATGGAAAACTGTAGTAGTAGGTAACAGATGCACTGAAGAAGGAGAGATTTAGATTTGGTATAAGGAGGAAATTATTTACTGTGAGTGTGGTGGGGCACTGAAAAAGATTGCCCAGAGTAGCTGTAGCTGCCCCATCCCTTGAGGTGCTCAAAGCCACACTAGATGGCATCCTGGTAGCCTGATCAGATGGAGATGTCCCTGCCTGTGGCAGGAGTTAAACGCTGGATGGATCTTTGAGGTCTCTTCCAACACAAAGCACCCCATGGCTGTATGATTTCTTGGTCCCTTTCCTTCAGTAGGAGGTAGGAATGAGTTGCTTGAGTTAGTGCCTGTATGGGAAATTCTTTGAAGCTCTCCTACTTTGGGCTTGGTTGAAGCACTCCAGTTAAATAACAGGAGCGCCCGAGCATCCCCCTGTCCTTTGTGAGAAACAGCAACATTCCTTTCATTTTTTCCCATCTCTTTCAGTTGAAGCTATTTAAGATTGCCATGAAGTTCCTGGGCAGAGCAGGTACGGGACAGCCAGGCAGGATTGCTGCTGAGCTCGTGGGATGGTGACCCACTTGGGGGAAGACTGGGAAACATGGCTGTGGAACTGGGTGAGGTGATGACAAGCTTCCCAGAGCTCTGCCTGTTGGTACTGCCCATGGGCTGTCCTCAGCCCTTCTCCTCCTGGGCTTATGGCCAGGCAATGAGCTCATGGGGAGGGCTCTTTCCCCAGAAACTGAGACAAATTACTGCCTCATCTTGATGCTGGCATCGTCACGGGAGGTTTCAAAACTAGACATGGGGAACGTGCTGGGCTGGCAAACCTGAACTTCTAGTTCTTGATGGTTTGGGATGGCCTGTGATATCAGCGGCTTACGTTGTTACACGGTAGTGTGTGCCACAGATTGGTAGAGGAATACAGAATGTGGAATAGCAAGGATCATCAAGTCCAGCCGCCAAGCGTAAGGTGTTAAGAACGTAAGGTTTTTTGTGTCATTCTGCTGCATTTAACTATTACTGCAATGACATCACTGACTTTCAGCTGTCAGCACACTTTTCTCTTCCGTGGCTGAGAAGCTGCACGGCTGTCTTTTGTCACACCAGCTCCAGTGGATCCATTTTTAGTGTCAGACATGCACTTTATGTCAACCACGGTGAAGTGGTAACAGCCAAATGCCTTGTGAATTATAAGTAGTATTTTGAAGCTCTGACCAGACTACACAGATGTTGATTTCAGCAGCATGGAAAAAAACCAACAAAAAAAACCAACAAAAAAGCCCCAACTGGATTTATTTTTACATTGACTGCTTAGTTGATGCTGTTTTGTAAGCTGGAGCCTGTGGTGAGTACTGTGTGTGCCTGAAGTCTTCCCTTCCAGTTGGATTTTATAAACATGTTTTCCCCAAAGAGGAGAGGGGAGGCTTCTTGTGTGATTTCCTCAAAGGGAAAACAGCCATTACATTTTCTTGTTTATATATAATGGTGCTTTTGCACAAAATAGCAAAAATTCCTGTGAGCGTTCAGTTTGGGTAATTTTAGGAGTTATCAACAAACAAAAAGGAAGAGAAAGGTTATGTTGTATTAACACAACCTTTTTTTAATTACTCCTTGGAAACGTTGTGTGTCCTCATGCCGTACTGCAGAGCTGTGAGGGATCGTGGAGCTTGGGAAGACATCTTTTTGGTGCCTTCCCAGTGCTGGATCAGACACTTCTTGTTTCTCTGAACTTTGCTATTTCTTGATGTGATCTCATGGGGTTTCAGTGGAAGGGAGGAAGTTAACAGTGGTGGTGCTTCAGAGTCTGGAGATGCTGTCTGAAGGTAGCGGGAGCCCAGGGAGCTGCCAGCAGTGTGTGTGGTCAGGGAGTGTCCCCACAGGGGCTGCCAAGGGTGAGTGGGTTTGGCTGCTGTGTCACCCAGCAAACCCATTGCAGTGGCTGAAGGAATGAGAGTGGTGCAGGGAGGACCTCTTTCAAACTCGTTTTCCTAGGAGCACAGGAATTGGTCTAGTTTGGCTTACTTCTCTTAAGCATGGGACATGAGCAGAGGTGAGACCCACGCAGTACACATCATTTCATTTTAACTCAATTTAGGTGCCTGCAGTGTAGTTATAATAGCCCTGCAGGCTATTTTCAGCAAGTTTTCTGAGAACAAGCTGTATCTCATTGCTAGTAGATTTTTAGCTTCCTACCTCTTATTTTCATTGGTCATCCCAGTGCCTTTATATCATAGGACATTTGTTGTTTCCTTATTTGCACTTTACAAGGATACTGTCCCACTGTGCCAAGGAAAGCACAGGCTGCTGGCAGCTCAGCATCCTGCCTGTTGCATGCTGAAAGGGAGAGCAGTCATTGCTGTACCTTCCTGTGCTTCAGTTAAAAAAATGTAAACTGCTCCGCATTCTGAAGCAGACAGAAGTTTGCTCCTAAGCTCTGTGTTTATGCAGTTTCTTTCCACGCTTATGCATTGCCCAAAGAGGGGGATTTTTCTTCTGGATTTTTGGCCTTTATTTATAGATGCTGGAATGGAAGATGGAGGAGAAAATAAGTTTTCAATTCCCACAACAGCATGTGGACTTTTGCATTCTCTAACTTCTCTCTCTCTCTTTTTTTTTTTCTTAATGAGGTCAAGTAGAAATCATTTAAATAGCAAAGCTTCTAAAAAAAAAGAGAGAGAAAAATGCATTGCATCTTCTTAATTTTTGGTTTTTTTAATTCTTTGTAAGGTCTAAGAATAACAGCTGCTGAGGCACAGTGTGCAGACCCACAGCCCTATTAGGGGTTCAGCATGTGTCTGGAGCTGTGGTTTGGCACTGCAGCAGTTGAGCTTTGCATAAAGGCTGAGGCTGGCCTGGTGTAGTGTGGGTGCAGAGGAACTGGGCCTCACTCCACTCCCTGCTGCTCCTCCCGTGCAAATATTTATGTGTCACAGCACAGGTTGGTAGCTTTCAGGTCCTTTTTTTTCTTGTTTTTTTTTTTGGTTGCTGCTTAAAATGGAGAGAAATACCAGTTTTTGAGGCTGTCATAATGACGGCTACGCAGTGGGCTCTGTTCTCTGAATTGCTTCAAGTTCTTGGATGCAGCGAGTAGAAATTGCTTGGCTGCAAGGAGTGTGCCTGCTGGGATAGAGGGGCTTGGGGCTGCCAGGGGAGGCCCTGCCACTCAGCCAGGCCAGAAAGCAGCTGAAACACAGAGCCCTGTGCAGGGAAAACAGCTAGGGATATGTGCTGGGTGGGGAGGAAGCTCACCCTGAGCACACTGAGTCAAAAGCTTGAGCACAAGTGGCAGTGGGGGAATGATTTCTCTCTATTACTGCCTACTGCTTCCCCACTGTGCTGGGAATCCCAGCCAGGATGGCTCTTTGGTGAAACCTCTGTGTCCCCTGTGTATAGAGTTGCACAGGGGATGAAAATGAGGATGAGTCAAACCAACTCCTCGACCAGCTTGGGAGTCATCTCTCAGCATGTAGCTAGTAGCATAAGATCCCGCCTTGTTCCCAGGGAGCTTCCTTCCTTGCACGTTGCTGTTGTGGGTAGAGCAGCCTGCACAACATCTATTACACCTCGACCCCCATTGCCCAAAGATGCTTGGTGCGCTGCTGAAGGGCAGCACTGAATGGGATGGAAAACTCACCAGCTCCTTGCTTCCTTTGCAGTGAGCCCTCAGCAGGAACCAGCCCTTGTCCAGACAGCGGTGCAACAAGGCTGCCCGGGGCTGAGCCGTGAGCGCTTAAGCAGGAATCATTGCAACCTGAAACAGAAGGCTTACTGCTGGTTAGATGCCCAAAAGGGAGAGCACAACTCTGGCTGAACTGATGCATCTCGGCACCTGATACAGGTGCAGGTAAGGGCGCGGTGCCTCACATCACCACATTCCCTTTGCCTAATGTGTCAATCACATCGCCCCCAAAGCAATTGTTTGCTGCCTGTGGCAGTGAATTGTTCAGACCTTTGCTGGGCTGTCAATTATGTAGTTATCCTGTATGTTCTGTGGTCATCCCGAGTGTTCTGCTTGAGCTGCTTGGGACATCGCTACTTGCATCACACAGCTTGTACTGGAGACCTTCTCAGCTGTCGCCAGTGCCTCTGCTAAAGGAAGGGGGCGTGCTCTTGTAGAGGTGGCTGTGATGTTATGGTGCATGCAAATATGATGCAGATATAGTGAGATGAGAACCCATTTGAGCCGTCTGAAACACCTATGAGTCATGGAAGGTGATCTATGAGCAGTCATTTGCAGAGGCCCTCAGTTGAATCAGTCTCTCCTTAAGTTTCATCTGACTTCATGCTCCTCCATTTAGAAAAAAAATAAATTAACATGCCTGTGCGATCTTGGGTTTGTCGTAGTCAAGGAAGTAAACATGCAAACAGGATCTCCTGTATCTGTGTTCATCCTGCCTGGTAGTAATTTTGTTTCTGAAGCCATTACTGACTTGGTGAGCGCAATTCTGCTTCCCTTTTTTGCAGCACGGCTGCAACCAAATGCCCACTTCGCCTGATAAGAGATTAGCAGCAAGCAGGGATGGGCACAGGTCTGTGTGCTTCAGTGAAACCTTCTGGGGCATTTTGAGTGTTTTGTGGTCCGCTGCATACTGAGCTGCTGTGTCTCAGTGGGGTTGCACACTGCAGGGCTTTGCTCTGAGCATTGCCTTGGGACAGGCAGCCAGAGGTCAGATCTTTGAGCCTGTTCCTGCAGGAAAAGTGCAGGCTTGTAGCGTGGGCAGCCCGAGGTTTGACATGATTTGATTTGTTAAAATGTGCTTTTAAAATAGAATGCATAACAGGAACAGAGAACTTCTAAGTTTCCATGGTGGTGAGTGCAGTTGTCAGCTACGTACCTTATTGACTGTGTCCCACAGCACTTTCAGTTTGATACCAGCATGTTGTGCTGTGTGCCAGGATGTGGGTTTTTTTTGTTTGGCACATTCAGGAATCCAACAGATCTTAACCAAACTCATTTCTTAGGGTAACAATTCCTAGTGATTGCCCTTCACCCAAGCAGTGATTAGAACCCCCGTTGCCATGTGGTGTGCTGCACTGTGGTGCAGTTCTGTAAGGGCTGAGGCAGGCGAGCAGGTTTCCAAGCTGTGCCTTGGGGGGCAGTGTGCAGAGAAGGGCTGCAGGTGGCCCAGACAGCTCCACCTCGGGAAGGAACAGCATTGACTCAAGGGGAAATTGGTTGGTTGTAGGGAAGCTGTGAGCATTCAGCAGTGCTTAGATGGGGAGGTTTAGCAGCAGGGTTCAGCTCATGCAGATAATTGCTGCTTAAAGCAGTGGGCTTAGAAGAAAATTCTGTTTTTCTGAAGTTCAACTTGTGTGCAGAAGGGTGCATCAGCTCAACATCACCAGCAGCTTCTCCCTCCAGAGACTGGGATTTGCTTTCTGTCAGAGGTCCCGCAGAAAACTGCTGTGCAAGAAGGTTTCCGAGGTGTCAGATCTTGCATCATGGCTGAAGTGAATTTCTCATGGGGCATCTCAAGGCATAGAATGTCATAGGATGTCCCAAGTTTAAAGGAACCACCGAGGATCATCAAGTCCTAAACATGCATATTACAGATGTGCAACTCCTTGCAGTTCTCCATGAAACTCTACATCTCCATCGGTCAGATCTTCAGTGCCTTTGCTCCAGTCCTTGTACAGAGACTGTACACTTTCATTTCTGCTGTGTGCAGATCTGCATGCTGCTCTTGAGTCCTGATGGAAGTCCTTAATGGGACTTCCTCCTTGTTTGTGTTCATCAAGCAGTGGGGAGAGAGGATACAAAGGTGTGCAGATGTATCTTCAGGGAACAGGTAGCAGCATCTGCTTCATCTGCAGGTGCTGGAGAGAACTAGGTAGGGGATGGCTAATACATCCTAATGGGGTGAGCTCAGTAAGCAGAGCCCAACTCTTCTTTCTGGTGACAGTGGTATGACTACAGGAAAAACTCAGTGTCTGTGTTACCTTAAAGTCAAGGAGTATGGAGTGTAGATACCTATATTTACCATTAAATAAGATGGTAAAGATTTCATGGAAAAATGAATCTGCGAAATCTTGGGGAGGATTATAACAGTAAATCTGACTTTGAAATAGCAATGTTTGCAAAAAGTCATGGAGTTTGGATGCAGACACCTGACTGCAGCCAGTACCTGAAATCCCATATGGCAAGCTAGCAAAGGGAAGGTTGTTACCATCTAGGATCTCCTAGATGGGATATTTTGTGAAGAGTTTGGGTTTGCTGATGGCTAGGCAGTGTTCAGTGTGGGCAGGCAGTACAGTACAGAGAAGCAAGGTCACTACAGGCGTGTTCCAGCTACGAGGTGCAAAACTGGCTGCTTTGCAACCAGTTTGAAGTTTCTGGCTGCAGGGAGCCTTTTGCAGAGGCTGAAGCCAAAACACATGTGGTCTTGCTCTTTCTTCTGCTATGTAAGTCTTCCTTTTTTACCAAATAGCTCTTCCTCTGGTTATTTTATTACAGTGTGTGGTAGAGATGGTCAGAATAATTTCCACTTCGTAAGTATCTTAAAAAATCATGCATTTAATTTGACATACAGTTTGTTCTTCCCTCTAGCCTGCAGAAAAGTTGTATTTTCAGCAGCACCGTAAGTATCTCGTTTGAATTCTCCAGCCTCATAACAACCCTAAAGTGGTGTAAGAAGGAGGTGGAGCAGGAGAGTAAGTTTCCTTTGATTCACATTTCTCAGAAGGGGAGCATGGGAAGCAGTGATCTTCCCTTCTTACTTCCCCATTTATCTCTAGTGGCTCTAGTGTCCGATCTGTAGTGGTCCTGAAATTCATGAGAACCATGCAAGCAAAAGAAAAGGACATCACCGTTATCAAATGGATCTGTGAAGTGAAAATGAGTGAGGTAGTGCTTTTCTTCCCATGTGCAGCCTGCAGAGGGTCAGGATTTGCTGTGTTGTGTTGCTCTGCCCCCAGCACGGGGCAGGACTGGCACAACCCACTCCTGCACAGCACACATGGGCAGTCAGTGTGCTGGCCATGTGATTCATTTTGCAATTTCTTGCAGGATTCTGTACAGCTAAGGATCCCATGTGTTTCTTTCAAGCTGGACAATAAATCTCTGGACTGTATTATTAAAGTCATTTAGCTTTCAGATGCTCTGAGTGAATCACTGAATGATTCATCTGTGGCAGTGGGGGGAATAGGTTAAGGTTGTGATGGTCCTTAATAGCTTTTTCCCAACCCTGCTGGGTCGTCTTACAGCAGGCAAAATAGGCAGAAATCTCCTTCGAGCAGACAAAAAGCAATCTAACAAGCTATTCTAAGAGGCTTTGTACTCCTAAGTGTGTAGACCTTTTCCAAAGGCCATCAGGGAACTGATGCTAGTCCCAGCTCCCTCCCTGCTCCTCAGAGTGCACTGTCCATCTGGGACCTGTTGGCTGGCAAAGCCACAGCCATGTGAATGAAAACGTGGCACAACTTCCAATGCTTATCCTGCCTGCAGCTCGTGGGCTTCAGAACTCATCAGTACTGCTGGATTGCACTTCTCAATTTTACTTTCTGTCTTCTGTACAGCGTGTGAGTGTGCAGAGCATCTCCCACTCCACCTGCTGTATAGACAGAGGTCCCTCTTGCTCCAGTTCAGTTGTTTCTCAGTGCAGAGAGAGGAGCTGGCAGCTGTGCTGCATGCATGCGAGTTCCATGCAGGTTCTCTATGGAGGCTTCTTAATCTCAGCCTCATTTTATCTTTTGGATAAGGCTGGGAGCTAAAGTTGTCAGCAAAGCTTTTCCCTATTAGCTCTTTCCTAAAATATTTCTTATGCTGTGTATGGTTTTACTTACCTCTTTTTCTAATTTTTTTTTTCCTCTGCCTTACAGCTTCTGACATGAAGAAAGATATAGACACTTTAATAACCCAGGAAAAAGCGGAGATCATTGCCAAGTATGAGAAGGTACCAGCCTTGTGCTTTTCCCCAGTACACTAGCTAAGGCTGGGGATATTTGGTCAGTGGGTCAAGCAAGGATGCTTTGAAGAATTGCTGCAGCAGCCAAGCTCTTTCTGCCTACTTCTGCCTGCCCATCCTCTCTCACAGTCTCTTAGATCCCATATATGCTCCATACAGTCACAGAGGCCATGGATTTCCAGTGCCTCTGTGTCCCTACTAAAGCTTGGATGGCCTGTGCCCGATTGCCCGACAGCACTGCCTGCTATGATGTACAACCCTTTTGACCCCATAGCAGTGGCACCTCTGATAAGCTGGATGGTTTCAACCTCTAGACTTTTCTGTTGATTGTGTTGCATTTTTTTCTCTTTAGAGTAGGTTCTGGTCTGTAGTGCTGTTGTTCTGTGCTTTCTAGCATGCAGGTACTGGGGGGAGCAGGATGCGGGCACTGGGTTATTTCCATTCCTGATGTGGCTCATTGACCTTCCTTCTGCTTTCAGGGCAGGCAGGAGGGAGCCACGATTGACCCGTGGGAAGATGCTGATTTCACGCTGTACAAAGTTACTGACCGCTTTGGGTTTCTGCAGTAAGTTCTCTCTTCTCTCCCACCCTCACCACACACATTGCTGTCCCCATGGTTAACATGTCACCCCTTGCTTTTCCAGTGAGCAGGAGCTGCCAACCCGCACCGCCTTGGAGGAGAAGGTGAGAGCTGTCAGCTTTGCCAGTGTGGGTACTGGGTTCTTGTAACTTCATCTGGGGAGGAGTGATCCTTGTTTTTAGTGATTTGAAGCTAGCTGAACCTGGATGGGTTTTTTTTTTGGTCAAGAAATGGCCCTTTTGGAAATGCTTCCTGCATGTTAAGCCTGCGTCTCTCCTTGTTTATACAATGCTTTTTTAATGACTGAGTATTGAAATTACCAGCTCTTGCAAACACCTCTGGGTTATTCCTGTCTCCTGTGAGAGGCGTTTGTATGCAGCTGAGTGTAAAGTTCAGCTGTCAGAAATTTAAACCAAAGGAGAAGGAAGTCCTTATCTTTCAGAAATTGTATTCTAGCTTTTTTCTTAAATTTGTCCTGTCTTTCTCCCCCCTCTCCCACCAGCAAAAGCAGCAGGAAATTGAACGTGTGGACAAGTGGCTGAAGATGCTGAAGAAATGGAGCAAATACAGAAACAGTGACAAGGTGAGGTGGAAAAAAAGAGCACATGCAAGGAGGTATGCTCTGGTGACTCCTCTGAATAAGTCAGGCTTTCAGAGAAAGTTAAGAGAGAAACCAGAGATAGATGGAAAATATTGACTAATTCTACCCGTTAGTTAGTCTTCAGTATTTCAAATCTTTCCTTAGATTTTGCTGGCTTACCAGTAGAGGGAAAATTCTGCTCTGACTCAAATATGATGAGAAATCCTAATTGCAGCCTATATGTTTGTACTGACACCTGTGCAGGCAGGAGCACAGCAGATGTGTTTGTGTGCCCATCTGGGTCCCTGCTGCACGCTGCAGCACCTGGGCATGGCATGGACAATGCAATGGGTACTGCTGATTTTTCCCCTGGTTTTCTCCCAGGGGTGAGAAATATCAGTCTAGGACATGACCTAGATTTTGGGTTTTGCTCCCTGCTTTGCCTGTGTGAAGCCATTTGGCTGCTTGCTGAGCCTATTGGTGTTCACCCAGCTGTGGAAGGCATGTGTGGAGGCATTAACCTTCTGCGTTGGATTTGACTTTGTAAGTAAACTGCAAACACCAGTGCAAAACCAAATTAATTTTAATGAATAATATTTGTAATAAATTCCTAGGACAAACCTCTTTAGGCAAAAAAGCCTCAAACCTGATGGCAGACTTCAGAGCTTGCTGAGCACAGAGGCACTGTGCCTGACCTGCCTGCATTCAGAAGCTCCATGTGTTGGCTCCCTCTGCTTCCTCCAGAGGATGCTACCACAGCTGCTGGAGGCTGCAATGGGCAGCTTGGAAACAGAGCATCCTCTTCCCTCATCACTGGCCGCCTGGAGCAATTTGAAGTTCACCCAACCAAAGAACAGCAGTAGGCTCCTCTTCTGTTAAATAAAATCTTATTTTTGTTATAACAAGAATGGTACTGAAGATAAGCTTGGGATGTTTTAGTCCCTCTTCTCGTTTCAGTGCTATTATAATTATTTTCTTCGTCAGTGCTGTTCTGTGGGTGGCAAAAAATGGAAACTCTCCTGTGGCCTTGACTTCTCTAATTAGAACTTAGCACTAATTGTTCTGTGGCCTTGTGGACATAATACCAAATTCCAACAGTGTTCAGGGAATCCCAGCGGGCCCTGTTGTGTTTGGAGTGTGTCAAGCACACCTTGGCTCTCCTGTGTCAGCTCAGGTGGGCTAACAAGTTCAGGTGCTGAAGGTGTACAGGATAAACCAACTGCTTTGGTCCTTTGTCCAAGCGACGGGATTCCCATGTCCAGCCCCAGGGTTGATCCTAGGAAGCACCAAAGAGCAGGATTTGTATGACCTGGCTGCTTGCTGACTTTCAGCTGAAGGCTGGAGAGGTGCTTGACCGGCCATCCAACAACAAGCCACTCACAGGTCCCTGTGTCAGAGAATGTAAAGGAATAAATGACATTGCTATTTATAACAGCCTGTGAACAGTCCCTCACTCCAGGACACAGAAGTGGCATTGTCCACTGTAGGACTTGTGCCCTGGCGCTCAGCGTCAGCCCCCCCAGCGGCTGAGGCACAGTGCTTGGCGGCAGCCTGGGAGAGCATGAAGCCGAAGAGCACAAAGCAGCTTTGAATCAGGCCTGGCAGCCTGCTGGCACTGCCACAGGAAGCTCTGTGCTGCCGCTGTTACCATCAGTGCATGTATCAGAGCTACCCTGTGGAGCTCAGTGTGGAGCAGCAAGGAGCAAGACCTTGAGAAACACAGAAAAGTACCTTTACCTGGATGTGTTTTCCATCCCTGTCAGTCCCTTGCATGGAGCACACCACCATCTGCATTGCTGTTTTGGAGGAAAGATGCTGCAGTCTTAGAGCTGTACAGCCCAGTGCTTGATTGGCAGCACAGAAGCTGCCTGGAGGTTGGTGTTGTCATGAGCTGATGGCTGACACAGCTCAGGCGTGGAGCTTAAAGGATTGTAAAGAAAGGACTCAGATTTCATCTTATGAAGAAATCTCTGAAGAGTGCTGAAGACAGGCGCCATCTCTTTGTCCTTGGTTTTGACAGTCTGTTCAGAAGGACTCTGGACTCACTGTGCTACCATGTGTGTTTTTCACACATGGCATGGAGCTCAGGTTGTTGCCTTGGCTTGTCTGTTTTGGAATGGGCAGCTCACACCATTCCCAGCTCCAGAGTCACAGCGGCACAGGCTCCTGCAGTGTGCAACGACTAGTACAGAAAGCTACCAAAGCTGCCCCAGGAGCACCCACAGGGGCTTCCTGCTCTGCCACCTCTGAGGAACGCTACACCCTCCCTGGGGATGCTGCCTGTCTCCAAGCCTGATTGACATTAGCTCAATTTCTAGCATGCATCCCCACCTGCTACCGTCCCCTGTCTACGTGATGTGGTTGCTGACTGTAAGAGACAGAGCCCTCAGCAGGCAGCCTCTGATATGCCCCTAGCCCAAGGTGGCCTGCCTGCACTTCAAATCACTCCTGGTATGATGTGTTTCAAGATGAGCAGCAGATAGGATTGCCTTAATGAAAGCAGAGCCCTGGGACTCCTCATGCTCAGCACCACGTCGGATCTGTTTGCAGAGCTGTTCTAGGCATGCTCTGCAGCACTACGACTTAATTCCAGAAGCACACACAGATGATACCAGCACCGTTCTAGCAGGGACGTGGTTAGGCTGATGTCACGGTGCTTGTTCCTGGCTGTACGAGCAGCCTTACTGACTTCACAGGGGAAATGATGTAGAAATAAATGATTCCATGCTAAGGGCACAAAGTTCCACAGAGCCAACACATGCCAACTTGCAGAGAAGTGTTGTGTTGTGTGGCTCAGGATGCAGCACAGCAATGATGGGGGATTTGTGCTCCATTCACTGCTGTTCTAAATCCATGTTATCATTTCTGGGATTCTAGGAATTGCCCTGATGGTGCCATGTAAGCATATGCACAGTAGTTCAAGGGAAAAGTGCTACGCTGAGTGCTTCTTGATAGCAAGCTGATTTCTTCATTGTAGCTTTGAAATAACTGGATTTCAAGCAGGAGTATCAGTCCTGGGGGACTGACAGCTGTGCAGATGATGTGATCTGTGCACAGCATGCTCACTGCTTGTTGCATTAGGACTTTGGAGAGGGGTGTCTTTGGCTGGGGATGTCAGGTTCTTAGCAAAGCCTGTCTGCACACAGTCATGGCCTTGTCTCTGTTAAAGGTCACTGAGGTGCTGGGTTCTTAATCCGATGCGTGCCGACAAAGCGGTTTAGGATGAATCAGGGCTCTGTGTTGACTGGCACAGACCCCCAGCAGGGAGTAATCTGCTCCTGCTAGGAACAGCCTGCAGACCTTTGTCATGGCAGAGTTGGGCCAAGTCAGGCTTCATCCCTGCTGTACTGCTTCCAGGAAAGGAAGGGGTTGTAGCAAATGGTCTCTGCCACAGCCACCACGTTGTCCTCATGATGTGCCTCAGGGCAGTGGAGATTCCCCTAGATGCTGGGGTCCACCCCTCTGGTGAAAGCTGTGGAGCCATCACTTCAGCTCCCAGCACCTCCACTTGTGAGGTGCGATGGGGTTTGTTCTCCCTGCCCTCTTTGTGTCAGTCTGCTTGGGCTGTGGTCCTGGTGTTCTTTTCACAGCTGCAAGCATTGAGCAGTTTATTAGAGACAAAAGATGGTGAGTTGGGAGGGTATTTCATTTTCATGCAGGGCAGCAGCTGCTGTCACCTGCACTCTGCTTCCCACATAATTGCTGCTGTTAATGATAACTTCCCTGTTTTCCTTCAAGTCTCATGACAAAGGAAAATTACTCATTTTCCCTCTCCATGATTCACAGCACTGAGGTTTTATCACTTGCACTTCTGGAAGTGGTGGGAGGAGGAAACCCTTTGGATAAATAGTAGAGAGGCATTTTAGTTCGTTTTCATCTCAGCATGTTTTGTAACTCCTTTGTTTCTGCTGCACTCTTGTGCAGAGAAAATCATGAGAGACATTTACTATATATGCCACACTTGTTAAAGTGTAACAATAACAGCTCTGAGAATTCAAAACAAAATAATTTTCTTCCCACAGAGCTGAGCTTGCTCTACCTTGGTGACTGTCAGCCACTCTTTCCTAATACTCTGGAAACAAACAAATCGTGGGATGATTGTTAACTAAATGGGTACATGCTCCATTTTTCTTCTTTCTGTCTCAGCTTATGCTTCAAAAAGTTATAAGCCAGGCTTTCATGGGCTCCTTGTTGCCCCGAAAGCTGGTGAATGCACTGTCCTGGGAGACGTTCAGTGTCAGACTGAACTGGGGGTCTGAGCACCTATCTAGTGTAGATAACCGTGTTCATTGCAGGGGAATCAGACTAGATGGCCTTTAAATGTCCCTTCCAATTCCAATGATTCCATGATTCTATGATTTTCCTCTCCAGTTTGACTTTGATTGAGTGGTTCATGTAATTGCGTTGTTCCACGTACATATTGTGGTTCTTCCTTGCTAATTTTGGCAGACCGTGAAGTAGTAACATACCCTAAAAGATGGGCCATCACTGGGTGGTTGGAGGCCTCCCTCTGTGCACACATCTTGGTAGTTCTTTCCTGGCATTAGCTGAGAGTCTCACAAAGGGCTTGTGTAGAGTATGGTGGTCTGGGGTGTGTGTAGGACCTTCAGAGCAAGTGAGACTGCCTGGAGCAGTGAGCAGCAGATCTGGGGCAGGGACTGTGTTAAAAACTCTGGTGAGAAGAAAGGAAGCTGATGGTGTGGTGTGTGCCAGGAAGGAGAAGTGACTGCAGCAGATGTTCTGCTTAGCGCCAGGGATGCAAAGGCAACATTGCAGGTCCACGATGAGAAAACCTCCTGCTGATCTGCTGATCAAACCACTGTGTGGTTTGATGATCAAAACACTGTGTGGTTTGATGCTTCTCCTCGAGTTATGGCCCTTCTCTTGCACAAAGCTTATGGGAAAAGAGGGATTTGGGGGGAGATCAGATAAGTTTAAGCCAGACAGCAGGAATGGATTGTGCTCAGTGGGGCATAGAGCTGCTGCTCTGCCCTGTCCTATAGGGTCCTTCAGTCCCTTTAGGGGACTGAGGGGATCCCTGCATCCTAACATAAGCCCCTGCAGCTGGAGCCTGGGCCTGTGCAGCCTTGGGGTCCCCAGGAACCTGGAAGAATGCTGCAGTTGGTTCTGTAGTGCAGCTGCAAGATGTTTCAAGGGGGTGGGATGAGTGCAAGCATGGAAAATATTCAGACATAAAGCTTTTTTTTTCTTTTTAAGTTCTTTTAATGGGAGAAGTCAGGGATGGAACAAAAAGCTCTTTTTTCTGTTTCCTATTGAAATGTAATAGTCTGTTCAGAGAAAGAGGGCCTTATGACAAGAAAAAGGAAAGAGGCATCTGTGAAAGGCATAAAGCGAACACATGGAGTTAGAAGGGGGGACACTCGTGCGTTTGTTTGATCCCTGTCCTTGCTTGAGGGATACATGTGGGCTGTTATCTTCTCCAGCACGAGAGCCCTTGGTGTAGCCTGCCAGTTGCCTTCAGGTGTTGCTGTGGACGCATCTCTGACTTGTGTGAGGGCTCTCCTCTCCAAGGGGAAATGTATCTCCTAGTCCTTGAGGATCCAGGTAAAAGTGGCCACACCAGTTCAGACCAAAGGCTTGCAAAGCCAAAGGTACTGCTTCTGGTTCCAGGAGACATCGCGAGGAGGAGTCCAAGGGCAGGTTGACTAGGAGAAATGTAAGAGCTACACCTACAACAGGGATGGTCTGTGCCCAGCTCTTCTAGAGAGCTCAAAAGCATGAGATGTGTCTGGATTTTGGCTAAATAGATGTCTTTGATGGCTGCAGGTGCCCAGCCCACTCATCAAACTGGAAATGGAAATTCTCTCTATACAAGAACAGACAAGAGGGCTGCTGCTGTGCCATGTGAGCACAGCTGTTCTGCAGCACACTAACAGTGCATGCCCTTCCCTTGTGGCAGATGTGTCGGCGAGTGTACAAAGGCATTCCGCTCCAGGTGCGAGGCCAGGTCTGGTCACTGCTGCTGGACGTTGAGAAGATGAAGAAGGAGAATGAAGGAAAGTATGAGGTACGGAACCAGCACAGGAGCGAGTGGGGAGGGAGGTGCCTGGGCTGCTGTGGGAGGGCAGGGTGGACCAGTAGTGGACCCACTAAGGACACGGGAATCTGCATCTGCAATGGGCAGGGGGGGAAGCGGGGGATCCCTGTGGGGAAGCTTTTGGGGATAGGGAGGGTGCAGCGTGCGCTGGTGGCTGGGCTGAATCCCTGCAGTGACCTGCTGAGAACTCTGAGAAGGAAAGGCTTAAAGTTAGCAAGGACTGAGAAAGGAGGATAAACTCCTTATCTATGTGTTTGTCAGGTTGGGGACTGCTGGCCAGCTGCTTCCCCAGTGTGCTGGTCCCACGTGTTCTGTGCAGGCAGCTGGTGAAGGAGCTGTTGGTGTTACTGCATCTTTGGGAACAAGAGCAGACAGCTCAATGAAGTTGCTGGCTGTGGTTCCCCAAGCTGCCGGTCTGTGTAGTAGCCCAGAGCACTTGGAGCAGGTAGCCACTAGGTGTAGGTGGTCCAGACCTGTCTATGGACTTCAAAATGTTACTCATTGCACTGTGAAGTATGCAGCAAGATCAGAAGCCTTGAACCATTCTATAAAGGGTTGCTAGTCAAGAAAGCCAATTACGGTGGGGTGAGGACAGTCTAGAAAGCCTTTTGATTAGTTTTTAACTTAGATATTCAGCTGGAAGTTGTTGGCAAGCATTGAAATGGCTTGCATTGAAGCAGCTGGTGTATTCTTTTTATCTTCAGTCATTATTATAGCAGTACTATCTTGAAAGTCTCTATTAAAAATCAATTTCCATTCTTTCTTCTGCAGATAGGAGCAAGGTCCTTCTTGCATTGCTTCCAACCAGAGCTCTTCATCCTGCAGACTTTTCTGTGGATTCCTTGGTATCAAATAAGCAATTTCTGTGGTGTGCATTGAACAGAAATTCAAGCAGTGGTGCTTGCTATATTTCTTCTTTTTTTCACATCAATCCTTAAGGCTGCTTTATGCTGCCTGGCTTCTTTTCCTACCTCGTTTCACAATTAACTTGCATTAGCATAGCTCAGACCTAGCAGGCTCCTTTGCAGTAGGGGTGGCACACGCTTTCCTAGCAGACCTCAGCTTGCCTTAAGAGCCTGCAAACGTTTCTCATAATGGTGAGCACTGGGGTGCTGCAGAGGCTGTTGCCTTTTGGAGGCAGAAATTAAAGTTCCATTTCCAGGAGGTGCAGGCGCTTCTAAAATCCCTGCCTATTACACAGGATGAGGCTAATTCTTATTACAGTCAGTCAAGCATGGATGTTAATAGTGAAGTGCTGCTGGGATGGATTCACATGAGGGGGTGCGGGGAACATGGGTTGGGATCACAGCAATAAGCAGGGATAATGAAGCTGCCTATAATAACGTAGTTTCTTATCATGCTCCCTCCCAAGAAGCTGGTGCTGTGCAGGCAGGGAAACGATCCAAAGAAATGAAAGTCACAAGGAGTTTATCTGTGCTTCAGAGGAGAGTCTGCAGTAAGCAGGAGCTTCAGGATTAATAGGCTTTGCTGTACTCAAACCCCCCTAAAAGCTCGTCTTAATCCTCTTCCTCTTTGGTGCCACCTGCCGCTAGCAATTATCTCTCTTGTTAATTAGCTCCAGAGGCACATCCTGGTGGAGGGATTTTGCTTTTGGAAGGGACTGAGTCAGGCCTCAGCCCATTGACCTCCAGAGACTGGCCCCATGGCTGCTGCATCCTTTTGGGGCAAACGGTGGCAGAAACACATCCTGTGTGCCTTGAGGATGACCCATTGGGAGAAGTCAGAAGATGCCTAAGTACAGTTAGTGATAGGCTTTGAGAGAGATGTCTGTGCTGTTCTGATAGGGAAAACTGGAGGGAAATGTGGGGAAATCTGAACTCAAGTGACAGATGTGTGTGAGCCATTGTGTTACTTCAGGCAGACTGTGCGTTGTGAAGGGCAGGCAGAAGTGCTGGAAGTACAGGATTTAATGCCGTGAGATGATAGCATTTATCTGATCATCATTTCATTGTCATATTTGCTACCTTGCCTTGTCTAGTGCAGGCAATAATTCAGAAGCAGCCCTGTGCTGTTGCTCCTCCCTACAGTTGCTTTCATGGTTAGACTAAAAATTCCTGAGGGAGTGTTGGCTGCGCCTGGCCCCACTGTGCTGGATTAGTGCCATGGGTTGGGCAGGGCTGGTGGGCATTGCTCTAATACCTCCCGAGCACTGACAGGTGTAGGGTATCACCACCTCATTAGGAAGTCTGTCCCAGTGTTTGACCACCCTCATGGTAAAGAATTGTTTCCTGGTGTCTGTGTGTCCACTCTTGAACTCCGGAGTGCACTCTTTATTCAGGTGGGCTTAGCTTTCAGTCTAGTTTGCTTTTGGTTTTTTGTGGGTTTTTTTTGCAGTGGACTTTAGTCTTTTCTGTGTAACACTGCCTTAAATGATTAGCTAGCATAGGGGAATGTGAGGATTCTGTTTTGAGCTTAGATTCAGGTCTGGACTTAGCCAGTTCCTTAAAATTTGCACCGATCCAAGAAATTATCCCAGAACTACTGTTCTAGGATTCCTCAAAATTAACATGATTCTCTTCTGCATGGGGAGTAAGGATCACTTTCCAGAGGAGTTGAAGTCTCAGTACTTTGGACTTCATTATGACTGAGCCTCTGAAGAGCTCAGTGTTGTTGGCGTACATGCATCTGTTTGTTTGCTTTGGGTGTGCATCATTCCTCAAGCACCAGCAGAGGACTTGAAGCTTTGTTACAGACCAGAGAGAGTGCCAGGCTGGGTGCCATGAAGAATCCTGTGTTGTGGATGTAGGGGCAAGCAAGAGGCTGCACAATGGGATGAGCCAAAGCAGTGCTATCTCTGTGCTTGCAAGGGGTTTTGGGGCTGGTAAGATGTGCTGGTCCACGTCCTGCTGTGCAGGCACACGTGCTGCTGAGCTACAGTTGCTCTGCCTCGGTGGGAGGGCAAGCTTGTGTTCGGTTTGGTCGCTGTTCTTCATCCCTTCACCCCCAGGTCACTGCTCGCTGCTGGGATCGCTCCTCAGTGGCTCTGCATCTCACAGGCTGCCACTTCTACCGCGGGGAGATGGCTGCATATCAAGCGGTGCAGGCGTAGATGATGTCTGACCCCTTCCTCTTGTCTGCCACTCTCCCTTCCAGCAAATGAAACAACAGGCAAAGAGCTGGTCCTCAGAAATCAAGCAGATAGATCTGGATGTTAACCGCACCTTCCGAAACCACATCATGTTTCGGGATCGCTATGGTGTGAAGTGAGTACCACTTGAGGGGCACATGACAAGGCTTGGGCTGCGGGCATGTTGTTCAGCTGTTGAGCTCTCTTTTTGGGCAGATCCACCTTGGACCATGCTCAGCCCCAGTTCTGGAGCCTGGCACATCAGTCTGTTGTGGTGCTTTGGCCGTGGAGGTGCTGGGCTTGCAAGTGCAGAGGGCTTGTGAGGAGTCCCTGTGGAGCAGGATGAAACGTACGTGGCCTCTGTGATGGATGGGTTTGGAGAGGTGCCCTACATACAGTGTGCATACCATATGCACTGTACTGCATATCCATACAGTGATGACTCCCTTAGCAGAGACAGAAGGGAGAAGCCTGCTAATGGAAAGGTGATATTGTTTCCCCTGGGATTAAAGCATTTGGTGCCTCAGTGGCTTCCAGACTGCAGGAAAACCATTGCCCCCCTTCCAGACCTGACACACAGGTGTGTTGAGCTCAGTTTGTATGAGTGGCACATTTTAATGTCCTTTCTTTCTCTGCAGGCAACAGGCATTGTTCCACGTCCTGTCGGCATACTCAGTGTACAACACTGTAAGTAGTAAGCTAATCCAGTTACAGTGAAAGCCTTGTCCTGATACACGTATATACATCCAGCAGCTGTGTGTATGTCAGGCAGAGTCATGCCAGCTGAAGTTCTGATGCTGGTGTGCATGGACTGCTGTGATGCTTGGGCAGAATAGGTCTAAACTGGCTGCTGAGTGCACTGCCTCCATTGCAAGGAGGCACAAGTGACTTCAGGTGGCAGTCAAAGGAACAACTGCTCACTGGTCTATCTCACAGGTCTGGCATCCTTAAAATCTTGGGTAAACCTTTGGAAGATGCTGTTGAGCAGATAGCACAAATTCAAAGGGCTTTTTAAAGGCCTGGCTCAGAGCGGGGCTCTTGTTTTAGTCTGGGAAAAAGAGGGAGAATGGTTTGTGTGCTGGTTTTAACCATCATGTGGAGTGCCTGGAAATCTTAAAGCCTTGCAGGTGGGATGGTGTAGACCATATGGCAGACACTGTAGGCATATGGGAACTGTAAACTGGAGAATAAACAGTAAATACCTGAAAACTGGGACAGAACTTAGAGGAGAATGGGAGATGCAGGCAAGCTGGGTTTCTGATAACAGAGGGGCCCAGGATCCATGTGCTCCCATCTCCAGGTCTTCCCCACGTGCCCCTTTTCGCCAGTAACAAATCATGAGAGTCTGATAGGGTTGCAGAGAGAGCCACAGGCAGCATGCAGCACGTGTGCCCCTTGCTCTTGCAGGAGGTGAGCTACTGCCAGGGGATGAGTCAGATCGCAGCCATCCTGCTGATGTACTTGAATGAAGAAGATGCGTTTTGGGCACTGGCACAGCTTCTGACCAACCAGAAGCATGCAATGCATGGTAAGGATGGCCGGGATGTGGGCAGCAACTCTTGCTGTGGGGCTTGCTGAGAGGAGGCTGTAGTCTGCTGTGTAATTTGGCCAGGAGAGCCTTGTTTCTCCTTAGGTACTAGCTTAAAGTGAGCATAGCTTAATTACGTGGCTGCATAAACTGAGCATAGAGGTGAGCTCTGCTTCAGGCAGACAGGCTCAAGAGAAGAATGTAGTTTATCAGCACCAGCCTCTAGTGCTCTATAATTAATGCAGTTATATAGGTGATATCTCCCCTCCAAAGTGCTTTGCCCTTGGCAGTCATTTAACTCAAGCTTACAGGTTTATAAGAAGTCTAACAGAAGTGCATCTAAGAACACTGCACAACACTTTGGTTTCAATATGCCATGAGCTACATGCCCTTAAGTTTCTATGAAGATGCAATTCCACTGAATGGGTTGTATTATTTTGGTTCAACCACATTAAAGTTCCTTTCATCTTGTGGTTAGCAGTCATTTGTGCACAGAGGGCAATTTCAGGAGCAAGCGGCCAGGCCTGATGGTCTGACAACTGTGGATGGCTCTGTGAAGAAGCCTACACCCAGCCTGGTCTAGCTTTGATGCTCCCTGCTAAAGCAGTGCTTTCTCTATGATTCTATGGCTTTCACTTGCAAAGCAGGAAGAAGCTTGTTGTAGGCTTGCCGAGCACATCTCCTTCCAGATAGCAGGCTTGTGCTGCATCCTTGCTGGCACAGCTGCACAGGGGATAAATGTCTACAATATGGGGCTGCCCCATGACCCCTCCTCCCAGCTCCTCTAATTTTTTCCTCTTGTCTTTTTTTGCTCAGGTTTCTTTATTCCTGGGTTCCCAAAGCTGCAGAGATTTCAAGCTCATCACGAGCAGATTTTAAGCAAACTCTTTCCGAAACTGAAGAAGCACATGGTATCTCTTTGTTATCAGTCCTTCACAAAGTCACATTTAATGGCAAAGCAAGTAGCGTGATGCTCTGCCAAACATATGCACAACTGAACGTAATTCTAACCCTATGCTTCAGCCACACAAGGGCAAGCATTTAAGCTGTTTTTTCCATGAATCTTGCTGAGGGGAATGGCTACCATTTGCTTGCTGGTTGTCATGGGTGCAGGGACTGCTAAAATCTGAAGGCTGCACAGGTTGAGCAGCTGGCATGACATTCAGAGGCTGGAGGGGTGTCTACAGGGCATGTCAACTGTGGTCGAAGGCTGCAGAGACTGCTTTGTAACACCTGCTCCCTTTTTCCCCCCCTTGCATTTGCTTTAGACATTCAGTATTCATTGGTCAGGCTGCTAAGAGCTTCTGGTACTCCCAGGGGTTCGGTGGCTCAGCTCCAGGAACAGCTATCCTCTGAGACAGCTTCTGTCTCTTGCTGCCAGAGGGCCAGGCCCAGCCATGCCAGTGGAACAGAGCCAGAATGTGTTTTCACTTAATTACAGCCACTGGGGAGAAAAAATGAGCGGGAGGTGGATGGCATAAACTCGAATAACTCTGCCTAGGTTGAAGGTTTCGGAGGTGGAGTTAATGGGGGGGGCCAAAGAGGAATGAGCACAACTGGCTGGGCTCTGCAGGTGTGGGTTTGCTTGTGGGATGCTTGGGGTTCCTCATTTCTGTATGCTCCAAGAGGCCAGGATGGGAATCGCTATGGAAACTCCAATGTTGATCTCTATGGAGTACATGGGTTTGGTGGGTTTGGTTCCTGGGAGCTTTCCGTAAATCCCCAGAGCAGAGATTAAGGCAGAAAAGCTCTTAGGAATCATTCCCTGAAGCTGTGGCGTGGCTGGAGCCTGGCAGGCTGTAGATAAGTCCCACAGATCGCTCAAGCTGAAACGCGCGTCTCTGCTTACTGTCTCATCCTAGGACAAGGAGCAGATGACGACAGGGATTTACACCACCAAGTGGTTCCTGCAGTGCTTCATTGACCGGGTGAGAACCCCGTGGGCTGCGTTCTGCTCTGCCACCCATGCATGCCAAATCTGTCTGGGTTTTCTGCTCGCTAACTGTGGAAAAAAATCACATAATTTTAAAATTCTTTTAGTAATACATAAGGCGGAATATTATGCATACTCTCATAAGGCAGAAAATTCAACAGTGGAGAAGCTAAGAAGCTAACTGCCTGTCATTCACTGAGAGTGACAAGCATCCTCCAGCAGCCACATGCGTGGGGAGAACCGTTCTTCCTCCCTGCTCTACTGCAGCCGTGTGAGGGCAATTAACATCACTTGGGCTCTGGAAACATGTATGGGGAAGAGCTTGAGGCATAAACCTGAACAAATTGCACTACAGCAGTTGCACATAAATTAGTAGGCCACGTACTGGAGACGTGAAAGCATGAGAAAATTACCTTGATGTGTCCAAGGCCAAGCCAAGACTGCCTTATTTTTTGGGCAGCCTTTTGTTTGCACACATGAACAACAGATCAAGACCAGTTGACATTTAGCACGTCTGTGTGTCCACAGTCTCAATTTTCTGCTTCCCTGCCTCCTGTAAAGCAGAGGCCGGCCTCTTGGGAGTGAGCTCAGATGTGTGCATGCAGAGCCTTGTTGTCACTACAAGCTGTACAAAATGCAGAATTCCCTTAGCAACAGCTGTACAAGAGCTGCTGAAATCAGTTGCACCGAACTCTGGAGAGCAGGTGTAGCATCCTAAAACCAAACTTTAATGTCACAGTCAGACCAGTATGAATTTCATTAGTGGCGATGTGCCATAAATGCTGGCTGACATCCCTGGGAGATGCTCTATCATTTTGAATACAAGTTCACTCCTGTTTGTCAGAATGGGACCTGGTGTTGATCAGAACCTTTTGCTGACGTTGAAAGGAGGTCCATCAAAAGCTATCAGGTTTGTTAGCTTTAAGCCAGAGATTACAAAATAAGGGTTTGCATTACAGATGCCTTACTGTGGGGTGTGTTTCAGTGCAAGGGGACACAGTCACACTGCTGACCTCTGTGCTGTCAGCCTGTAGTGTCACTACCTTGGTGCTAACAGGATGCTTTATGTTTATGTTGAGAACAGACACCTTTCACCCTCACCTTGCGGCTGTGGGACATCTACATCCTGGAGGGAGAGCGGGTCCTGACAGCCATGGCTTACACCATTCTCAAGCTGCACAAAAGTAAGTGTTTTGTGTGATGGGCAGGCAGTGAGCGGAGCACGAGCTGCCACGTAGCCGCTAACCAAGGGAAACGGTGCACGGGTTAGCCTAAGCTTGTGCTGCCATCCAAAGGCAGTGGTTTGCTTCTGGCTGGAACAACTTCTGCACGGCCGCTGCCTCCAGAAAATTTTAATTCTGATGGCAGACAGCAGTTTCAGCCTGGCTTTGAAATTTATCTGTGCTCGGAGGAGTGTGAGGAGCATGTAGTGTGGAGTATATCAGTGCCCCATCCAGTCCCTGCCTGCGGGCATGGGAGGCGGCCATTGGGCTTTCTCATGGAGCTTTTTCTCCTCCTAGAGGTATTGAGGAGAACTTGCAGAAATGGCCCTTAACTCGTGTACTGTCCTTGATAGGCCCTCACCCCACCGTCAGCCGCCAGCCCCTACTGCTGAGCTGCTGCCCAGAGGAAGTGAGGGGCGGCATGGCTGGCATACACAGCTCCAGGTCTTCAGCATGAAAAGAAGGGCATCAGGACACCTGGCCCAGTGGATTTCACACTTCACCTAGTCAAAACCAGAGCAACGCACCCAGTACTTGTTGACTTTCCAAAACAGCTGTGGAGTCAAGCTGAGCCCCTGCTCTGACCCTGCTGTGTTCTCTGCCCTTCCCCAGAGCGCTTGCTGAAGATGACGCTGGAAGATCTGCGGGAATTTCTGCAGGAGAAAATTGCTGCGTCGCTGCAGTATGAGGATGACGCTGTCATAGACCAGCTGCAGGTGTCCATGAGTGAGCTGCGCAAGATGAAGTTTGACCTCCCCCCCCCCTGGTGGGTAGAGCCACCAGCAGCTCCCTTGTCCCCCTGTTCCCCTTTGATTACTTACATATTTTTAATATATTTTCTTAATTTCTTATTTTTGATTTTTCCCTTATTCGTATCATCGCTCCCTTTGGTGCAGCCAAGCCCGACGAGTTCCCTCGCAGACCCCTGGGCCTGGAGCTCTCCCTCAACCCTCTGGACACGAAGGCCAGTGCGGCAGCCAATGGCCAGAATGGGCTGCTGGGTGAGCACCCCTCTGACAGGGGCACCGCACAGCCTCCCAGCCACCAGGGGACGGCCGTCAGGACTCCCGATGTGCCAAGCAGCCGGGCCCATGAAGCAGCTGACAGCCATCCACATCTCCCGTACAGCGAGGGGCAGCCGACAGAGGACGTGGCACAGCGGCAATCTCCAAAGCCGAGCGAGATGCAAGCCTTCCCCACCAGCCTGGAGGATGCTGTGAGGAGTGGGGAATCCACCCTGCACACTGGACATGGGGTTGAGCACGAGGAGCATCGTGAGCTGCACCATGAGTCGCCCAGCTTCACTCCCTCCCTGTGCAGCTCCGTGGGCTCCTTCCACCCTGCGTCAAACGCTCCTGTGGACACACCAGCTGGGGAGGCCCAGCCGCCTGAGCAGCATTCCAGCATGGACCACACGCCAGATCTTGCTGCTTGTGGGCCGCCTGAGGAACAACAAGCATCCTCCCTGCATGGGGAGGAGGCCACAGCACTGCAGAGGGACATCCCTGAGGATATGGGCGAGACGCAACATGGAGTGATACTAATGAATGGAATGGACTCAAAGGCCTCACTGCCCAAGTCGGCGTCCACGGGTGAGCTTGGTGGCCTGCAGCAGGGCACAGAGATGGCGCTTGAGCGAGGCTTCGCTGCCCTAGGCTCGCTTGCCCCGGGCAGGCCATCGGGCAGCAGCACGCCTGTTCTGTCAGAGAGCGTGTCACTGGCCAGGGGGAACAGCCTCCATACCGTGGTGAAAACCACCACCCGCCTGCATGTGGCACATGTGACTGAGCAGGACTTGGCAAACAGAAGGCAGGTGGCACTGCCCTGGCCAGAGGCCGCCCATCCCCTGGCTGCCAGCTCCCTGCTGCCTTCTGCCAGGTCAGACATGGGGGCGGTCCAGCAAGGCACCCAGAAACCGCCGAATGCACTGAAAGCACCGCGCCCACCCCTGAGCCCCAAACCAAAACTTCCCCCACAGGTTTCCAAATCCCTGTCAGAGAACAGCTTCAGCCCAGACTCTCATCCCGCTGCACGGCTGCCCAAGTCGGTGACGTTTTAGTGGGGTGTGGGACTGAGCTGGGGGCCGGAGTGGCACCAGCCCCACGATGCCCTCAACACGGCTGTTGCCTGCCTGTGGTGTCCCATAGAGCTGTGCTTTGGTACGAGAGCCAGGGCTGCAGAGCCCAGAGCCACCAGCAACCTCCGCTTTGGTTTGCATCCATGGTTTCCTTTCTATGGACAGAAGTGCTTGTGTTTGGGTTCATTTGGGGAGAGCAGCAGAGCTGGTTAATGTGTGCTCTTCGCTGCCTGCCCCCTCGCAGCATGGAGCTCCAAGGCTCAGGGTGGGTGCAGTGATGGACATAAGGCAGTGGAGTACAAAATACTTAGCAGGAGGCTTTCCTTCCTCTGTAGCAGTAGGCCTTTATTTCTTTTTCCAGACCTGCAGGAAGCAGCAGCCCTTCAGATGGGGCTGGAGCATGCCAGTAGGCAAGCACCACTGCCCAGCAGTCTATGCAAGTCCCTTCCTCCTGGTAGTCCCTTTCCGTGCCCCTGGCTGCACTCCCAGAGAGGAGGTGTTAGCAGCTGGTGGTGGTGAGCTCTGGCTGTGACCCCAGCAGAGGACCCTTCATGTTCTCCAGGTGATGAGGATGGTGGTGAAAGTTGAGCCTGGGTTGCAGGTCCAGAGCAGCAAGCAGGCTTGCTGCCTCAAACTGACCAAAGGGGAGAATTGGCTGCTGCCCTGGTGAGCCTGAGGGCACCGTTTAGCTGCAGTGCAAACCCCCGTCACGCACCTTGCCTTTGCCCATGGGCTGCTGGAGGTGTGTGTTCATGTCTCATTGTGGTGCCCAGGTTGAAGCCTGCTTGTGCCTGAACAAGTAAAATTTCAGGGTGGAGACACCAGAGAAGCTAGGAAGAGGGAGCACACGGCCCCCAGTTTTTCTTTGTCCTAGTTTCACCCAGCCAGAAATCAGCAACCAAGAAAGGAAACCTGGGTACGGAGGTTTGGAAGTTGATGCCCTAATGCATTGCCACAGGACAGATGCCCCTGCATCTGTGTGCAGTGGAGAGCCCTGCAGTCCTGTCCTTTTCCCACCTTCCTTGGGACCACGTGGGATCCAAGCCAGTCCCTGCCTTCAGCACTTTTTTCAAGCAGCACTGTGTCCCCAGGATGTCACCACCTGACTGGAGGTGCACAGGGAGCAGGGCAGCTCACCCCACTGAAAGAACCGAGCCAAACCCATGTGCCCAGCACACAGCAGCTCATTGTGAAGGGATTTCAGCAAGAAGGGGAGCAGCAGGAAATGAGCTCCAGGCCAGATGAGTGGTATGTGACAGTGCTTTGTGGCAGAGGGGATGGGGATGTCACCTTTTGGACAGCGGGTGAGACCACTGCCTGTCCCTCCAATGGCAGACATGGGCCAAAGCTCCTCTAAGATCTAAAGGAGACTTTTGAAACCTAGTTTTCATCTCTTATTTTCATCTCTCAGGCTGCTGCACCATAGCAAAGCCTACCCAGAGACTAGGAGAAAACATCCACTGAGTCCCTTTGGGTATTTACCGGGTTGTGCATGTGCTTTGTGCACGTTATCAGTAGAGCTGTGGAAGGAGCCTGCTGCTGCTTCTGCAGCCCTGCTCTGCTCCAGACCTTGTTCCCTGCCCATCTGTGCAGTGCAGGGCTGACCTCACAGCTCCTCTGCCAAGTGCTGCCGGGGGCACGCAGTGCTGTTGGTGAAGCACTTAGAAGTGCTATATGGATGCTCAGTAGTTGTGTTTTAACACACCATGGGGAAGAGGTGGTTAGGAGGTTAAGGCAAAAGTGCTTCAATTGGTTTGATTGGTGTGTTCATCAGTAATCGTGCAGCGGTGAAAGCTGTTAGTGTGCCACAGTACCTGGGCAGTATATCAGGACAGGCAGCAATTGCCTTCCATAGCAGCTATATCCTGCCTGGACAGGGGCTAGAAGCGCCCCAGGGGCTGCCGAGAGCCAGCAGCACACACTGCTCTCTGGGTGCTGCCTCCCTTCCAGCTGCTCTCGCTCCAGTGCGTGTCCCAGTGCCGTCCTCATCCGCTCCATCCCATAGCAAAGCCATTGTGACTGTGAGCAAACTCAGGAAGGAGCTCCCAGCTCCTGGCCCTGCCGAGCTGCCCCGCTGCAGGCTGTGCTGTTCCCTGGCCCAGTGCATGGTGCAGGTGCGGTGTGGGCAGCAGCAGAGCTGCAGGGCCCAGTGCCAGGGACAGACCTCGTCCTCACACCACAGCCGTGCAGGGCCCAGCGCTGGAGGCCGGGGCTCGGCCGTGCACTTTGACAGCCCTGCTACCGTTGGCTTTTGTTTTACTTGCTATTCTTGTTTACAGCGTGGAACGCTTCCTCCGTGACTCTTTCTAATGTATTATAATTATTACTTTAAAAAATATATCGATGTCTGTGGTTGGTTTTTTTGTTTGGTTGGTTTGTTTCGTTTTTTTTGTAAGGAAGCTAGATGAAAAAACAAAAGTCACTCGTTCCTTTTAGCTGTGATCCAGAAAGACTATGCATAGTGCTCTGTTTGACATGGTGGTAATAGTGAAAGGTTAGTGTAAAGCTGCTTTCACCCCCCCTCCTACCCCCCCCAGTGCTTCCTTGCAGCAGCCGTGTTAGAGGCAGGAGGAAGGGCTGGGCTACTCATAGGTGAACGTGCAGATGGAAAATCGCTCCAGTTCTGGGGCAGGGCCCGGTGCTTCCCTGACGCGTGCAGAAGTGTGAGCTTCCGTGTGTGCAAACAGTGGAGACGTTAGCTGAAGCAGCAGTCGTGGCTGGGACAGAGCTGCATCCCAGCTGATCCTGGCTCTGTGCCTCCCTCCTGAGGCGGCAGCCAGGGGGCTGAGTGGGGCCCAGCAGCAGGACAGGAACCCGCTCCTCTCTGCCTCCCTGTGCTCACAGCCCAGCGCAACCCTTCTGCAGTGCTTTGCACTGGCTCTGTTGCAGTGGGGAACCCAAGGCTAACGCCGATTTCCCTGCCTGAAGCCCTCAGAGGGCCATGCCTGGACAGAACGGGTGTGCCCTAGCGCAGCATCCGCTGAGTCAGGGCTGATTCATGCTGACGCCATTCACTGGTGCCTCTCATCACTAATAGCATCCTGCAGGAACTGCGTTGTGGGCAGCACCTCTCCCGCACTCCACCCTCCACGTCCTTCCTGCAGGCTGCGGGGTATTGCAGCTGTGTAGCAGAGAAAGTGGCCCTTTGGTATCAAGCTCCGTGATTACACCAATTGCTGGCTCCTCCACTGCAAACCCAAAGCTACACCAGCAAGACAATGCCAAGAGCAGCACGGGAAGTTTGATGGCTCAGTGGCTTTTCTCAGAAGGGCAGGGCTTTCCCCAGGGTCATGCTGGGCTTAAGCCATGTGGTAGGCAGAGCTTTGTTCTCTCTGCACCAGCTCACTTGGTCATTGAAAAACAGACCTAGGAGTTGCTTAGTGGCATCCTGGTCCCTGCATGCCACGCAGGCACTGGATTGTACCTTTCTTGCCACAGCAGAGTGGTGGCACTGCCCTGGTGCTGGCACCAGTACCTTGTGCACCTCTTGCCAGCATCTTCTGGCTCACACATTTACCCAGGAATCAAGCACTGTCGTGCTTGTCCCATTGCACTCATATAATCACAGAAACATAGAGCCATAGGATGGTTTGGATTGGAAGAGGCCTTAAACACCATCCAGTTCCCATGCCAACTTCAGCAAACTCAGCTCAATTCAGACAGTGTCAGAACCTTCAGCAAACACCAGGAACTCCTCCGTTTTGAAGTTACCATCTCTTGTTGGCTTAGGAAAGTGCTTCTGTTGCAGCTATGACTGACCAAAAAAGGTATGAGACTCGTTCCAGCACTCCATCAGCATCTTTAAGAGCTTGTAAGCAATTACATCAGTTGACTCAGCTGTGATCTCTCTGAACTCTCATCTCTCTCTAGTAGGGTGTGAGATTCTTGAATGGTGCAGGAGAGAAAAGTTTATTTGTTCATTCTGAGAGAGCTGAATCTGAGCAGAACAGAGCTACAGCTTCAAAGAAGGCCCTCTTCCAGCACAGGAGATGGAGCCTCAGTAATTGGTGTGATATTGTCTGAAACCTTCTTGGTCACAGTGTTTGTACTTGCCCAAGGTGCACATCACAGCACCAAGTGTAGTCCAGCCTTGCCACAGCCAGCTAAAGAGATCATGGCAGCCAAATGGGAGCAGGTGTGCAAACTATAGCAAAATGCACTGAGTACTCAAGACACCTGGCTATACAATGTGCAGCTCTTCAGAGAACTGCCTGTTCCACTTACCTAAGCTCACGCCACAGCATCAGAACAGAGAGGGGCAACAAACTCCTTGCCATAAGGGAAAATGAGTTATTGGAATATCTCAAAACCACATCTTATGGTCCAGAAGTACAATGCCTACAAGGAAATTCCTAAATCAACTCCAACTGTAGTAAGTCCTTCTATAGCCTTACGGTCACTGTAACGGAACCATGTAACCCTGATATCACTTTCAGACTCAAGAAATTCAGCTACTGAATGGACAGTATTCAACTCATACTCAATATGCAAACTTGTGAATACTAACATCCTGTTATAGCTGCTCTACCAACAAGATGCTCTCCTGCATTCAGACCACAAGCACCAAGTCAGCAAGTCAAAATATCAAGTCCAAAGCAACAGCTCCAACTGAGAGAAGCAGCTGGGCCTGGTTTTTGCCTACCTTAATCTCACTGCCATGCTGTAAAGCTGCCATGATTGCTCTGAGACTGGCCTTCCTCAGCTTAAAGCCAATGTCCTGGAACAAAGACGTGCTACTGAATTAAGCAGCAATCTCACAACGCATGATTTGAGAGGAAGGGCTGCTGTGTCAAGCTTTTAGCACCTCCTTTTGCTCCCAACCTATCATCTCCAATTTTCAGCATAGAATTTTGCTTTGCAACTAGAAGACACTTGAGCAAACTCAGGTAACAAGTGTATTGCTCAGATCCAGAGCGTTTTTGAGCAAGAAAACTTGAGCCTAAGTGATGCAGAAACCTCTTTGAAAAGGAAGTGCTCATACTGTGGCTCCTTGCTCCCAGCCAAACTGCTGAAGGATTTTGTGTTCTGGCTGCTACTGCTCTAGCACATCCCTTGCAACTGTGGTTTGTGTGCAAGAACGTGCTGACATGGCACTTTGCAGCAGACAGTCTGGAAAGCAAGCTCTTAGTGCAAGTCAGTTCTTGCCCAGGTCGAAAGCAAAGATTGATGCCAAGCAGCGTTAGTTCTTTGTTTCTATCACTGCACAACATGGCAGAGCACAGGCAGTGGGGTGAGAGGCAGCTTACAGGGATGCTCCCAGTGGGCAGTGGCTCTGTACTGCAGGGCAGAAGGGTTCCTGTACCCATTTTGCTACATGAGGGATGTGACTCATGCTCTGCCCCTGCCGCTCCCAGCCTCTGCCTCCTTGAGCACTTACACCTCTTCAGGCCTGGGCTAGTCCATGCAGGATGGTTTTCTACCACCCCGATCACCTCTCTCCTCTGGTGCTCTCCCTGGGGTCTGCTAGCGCAGACACAAGTCCCATCAGCCTGCACAACAGCATGGCCTGTGCTGGAGAAATGCCACTGGCCCCTTGTACAGATGTACTCACAGTGGCTGATGGCAGGCATGCCCACAGGGAGGCCCATGCACCAGCCTCCAAAGGACAGCCAGGTTTGGTGACCGATTATACCCTGCTGACAGCCAGGAGCAGCCCGAGGTGTTTACACTAAGCAGGTGTTAGTGTCAGCCAGGTGCTGCAGGGAAGAAGGAAAATTCTGCCTCCAGAACACATGAGCACTTTGGAACTGGTGCCAGAAAGACAGCTGCCCGCTGCTGGGCAAGGCTGCAAGCAGCCAAGCAAAGTACCTTGGCCAACGACTGCTGCCTTTTCCAAACCCTGCGCTACCATAGAAAGCTGGGTAGAACAAGAAGCCGTCCTCTGCTCCTACCCTGCTTGAAGTGCCGCTCAGGCCAGAAAAACCCAGGAAGCACCCAACTGGCACCAGTTCTAAACGCAGTTCTCAGCTCCTCCCTAGTGCTCCAAGGCATCACATCTGAGCTTGTAACAATCCCACACGGTCTGGGGCGAAGGCAAATTGCCCAGGGCACTGCTGAGGACAGGCTCAGGCTGGTTGCACTCTGCTACCCAACCAAAACTTGGGGGCCAGCAGTGGATTTCGGTGCTAATTAAACAAACGCGTGTGACAACAACAGTGGTGCAGCAGAACTTTTTACATAAAGGACAAATCCCTGGATGTGAAAATAAGCGAGGCCTTGTGCAATCACAGCTGCTGCCTTTGGCACCCTGCAGCCCGTTAGCCGCCAATCTGCAGGGCACAGAACCCACCTCTGTTTCATCTCTGACTGTTCATTGGCACTGCCTGGGGATACCTGCGCAAGATTTTTCCCACAGAGGCCAACAGATGGCCTTTAACCACCTCAAGACCTCTTCAAACAACACTCGGCTCCAGGAAACAACATGTGGGCTCACAGCTGCTTCACAGAGGTTTGCCTTGCACCCATGTTGAAATCACTGGCCCAACTCTGTTGCCTTTCTGGTCTGCAGCACAGTGGTGGTTCACTCAGAGATGAAACCCAAGAATCTCCCCTCCCCACTCTCCTGTTCCCTGTGATCCTCCCAGAGCCACCATTGGTAGCAAGCTCTGGACAGAGCCATCAAAACGGTTTGTCGAGACCATCAAATAATAATTTACTGTGATTCAATCTGTAGCTTTGTACAGTTGCCGGGTTGGGAGGAGGCCAAAGGAGGAGGGGATGGGGAAAGAACCAAAAGTCGTCTGCTGCCGGCCTTGGTGAAGTGCGAGATAGTCCTTGGAGGGGCTGGCACTTCTCCCGTCCTCTTCCTCTCTCCCTCCCCCTCCACTCCTCCCTGAATCCATTTGTTTCTTCCTTCGCATCACCTCTTTCCTTGTGCTCTGCACAGCGGACACCTCTCCAAGTCAGGGTCCAGTCAGCTGAAACATGAGGGAGAAGAGCTGTTAGCACCCGCTTGCTCTCAGAACCAGTCGCTGCCAACCCTCACGCTTTGGGACAACCCTTGCATTTGCATTTGGGACAACCCTTTCTACTTTCTGGCATTGCTTGTTTGCTGGAGTCACCTCTTGGGGCTGCACTGCCCTAAGGGCTGTACGTTGCTGTATGACAGGAGCCCCAGCAGCAAAACACATGCTTTCTGGTCTCAAAAAGACCACTTTCTCTCCTGCCCACGTGGGGGGATCTGCTACAGGCTGTGCAATTCATAGAAGCATCTTAGCATGCCAGTGCGTCTCTGTGTGTATTTACATGTCCTCCTCTGCCCCTCTAGAAATCACCCACAGCCAGGAAGCAGAAAAAGACATGGGCAACTCACTCTATTAGCAGAGAACAAGCCCCTCCTTCCCATGGCCAGCCTCTCTTTT